CCCCAAAATGGGGCTTTTAAAAATTTCCAAAGGGCTTTTAAAAAATTGGGTTTGGTAAAAAAAAAAAAAAAAAAAAAAAAGGAACCAGCTGATATTTTTAAATGTAGAGAAGATAACAACACAGATTTTAAATAGTTTTCAGTTTATTCCTGCAGTATTTGAAATGAATTTCCACAGACACTAAAAGTATTACTAATATGTTTTTAGATTTCATTTTCTTGACATTAGGTTGGAATCTAGGTGCATTTTTATTTTTCACATAACTTTCCATTCCACAGAAAAAAATATCCATCCTCTATTTGCTAATTTTTTCATCTTCATCTTTATTTTAAATTCTAAAAATAGAAATAAAATGGTAGTTCTTTAAAAATGCCAACAAATTACCAATAGTAGCTATTTGTCTGAAATTTTAAGTTGTCTTTTTTCAAAAAGTTGTGGGACATTTGAAATGAGTTTTATTTGGCTGCCCTGAAAGTGAAAATGACTCTTTAAGGTTGCAGACTCCTGTGCTACACCAACACAGAGCAGTGAATGATTGAGCTGGGAGGAAAATGCTACACAGATTTCCCTTTTTTATTATTATAAATATAATGCTTCAAGGTGAACCTCTGCCCAATCTCAAGTCTTTTACAGTCTCTTAAGGGCTTTTGTTCCAGGATTGTCTGTGCCTTTATCCCAAACAGACAAAATGTCTTGAAGAAAAACATCCGCAGAGCATGATACTGCCACCACTTGTTTTCACAAAGGGGGTGTTGTCTAGTTTCTACCTAATGTAGAGCTATGTTGGACAGAAAGCTGAAATGTATAAAAAATGTTAAACCATGTATTACTTTTCTTCAAAATCACTACCTCTTGTTGGTTTATCACATAAAAACGCAATAAAATTCATTAAGGTGTGGTTACAACTTCACAAAAGCTAAAAAAAAAAGTCAGTTGTGTGTAAATAGTTTTGCAAGGGACTGTGTGAATATTTCAGTTTTGAATCCATGAACTATATATTTGTTTCAGAGGCCTCCAGCTGTTTAATCTGGCAATACTTAGAAAAGTAGGTCAAAACCTTGATTCTCCTGACAAAACAGATTTTAATTTATATTTGAGATCATATGATTCTATGCCCAGGATCAATGTCTCCTTTTCCACTGAATAAATGAAACATCTAGATTTTTGACTTCAGTGATGACAATGCTGATACTTGTCCCGTTTCCTCATAATTTTTGATCACCTGTCGCATTTATTGCCTGTCAATAGAGTAATGAAAGATTCTATCATGTTAGGCATGTTGGTGTGTTTCAGTTTGAGCTCCTACCTGAGCCAGACTGAGATCTGTGTAGAAAGTAGACGTGTCAACATCCAGGTAAAGAGGGACAGACTGGGACTCTGCACAACTGAACACAAAACAAGCATGAAAGACAAGAGAAGTTATGACCAGTGCTCATAATTGTGAACACAGACCATAAAAAGTTGTTCTACCCATCTGTTGAAACATTTATTACGGAGACAACTTTATCATTTGATTTTACCTGTAGGGACGTGTGTTGTCATCGGTGACTGTGTCGCACCAAGAGCTGAATCCCAGAGACAAAATGACGCTGGCCCCCGCAGACAGGAAGAGCACACAGACGCTCAGCAAGACCGTGAGGAAGGATGAAAACAGGGTGCTGGGAGGCGACGCACACATGGGAAAACATCAACTTAAACAGCGTTTATTACATAAAAAGATAAAATTTATTATTTATGAGACAGTATTGGGTTAGTTTGAGCCTGTATTTACCTTTGCAATACTCTATTTTCCATGTTTAAACCACTTTTTATATTGGAAATTAAATATATAAAGCCTGCAACAAATTAAATTGTTTAAGCAGCAAAAAAAAAAAAAAAAACCTAGAACATTCGATGGTAATGCATTTATAATTGACCACTAATTTGTTACAAATAATTAGTTATTTTATAATTAGTTACAGTTATTAGTACAAATACAAATGTTTTGCTTTTTCACTGCAAAACTGCATATTGTTATAAAATACCAATTAGAGGCATATTGTACAGATGTTTATTTTGGACTGAAAATATTTGCAAAATTTGTGCGTCTGCCATAATAATAATGTTTGTGCGTGTCCGTGGACTCACTCGTCATGCCGTCCGTGCAGGTAGAAGAGGCACCTCCAGCCCTGCGCAGCCCCGTAAAGCGTCGTAAAAATACCCACAAATGTGGCGAGCTGGCAGGCTTCCAGCGGGCCCCACCGCTGCACCACCAGGTGAGACATCTCCCCGGACTGTTCCGTAAACTCGGCCCGGTCTTCTTTCCTCCAGTAGCCGGTGGAGAAGAGGGCGCAGCGGCCTTTGAAAGCCGAGCCGTTAAGAGCCATCGGGACGACCACCAGCAGTCCCGCCGCGACCGAGAGGGCGTGAGCGGCGCAGTGGATTAGCAACAGCCGGCGGTCCAGCTCCATGCCGGAGGTCGAAAAAACAAGTCAAAAGAAAATGGGCGTTTTTAGTGGGATAAAGAGAAAAGTCTTCTGTCAGCACATCCCGCAAGTACAGCGCTTTCTAGAGAGGAGAGGGTGGGTATTTATAGAACTGGGCCGGGGCAGACGCTACACGGGTTGCACGTATCGTCAAAGAGGAGGAGGAACTACAGAGGGATCACTCTGACGCATATTCTAGAGTCCTGATTAAAAAAAAGTACCAGAACATTCGATGATATAGCATATTACAGCTATATCATCGCATAGAAGCTATATTACAGCAGGTAATAATAATAATATAATAATAATAATAATAATAATAATAATAATAATAAACTATAATAAAGTATTGTATGTATTCTATTACGAACAAATATGATCAACTGACAATTTCTTCAGCAATTAAAAATATCAAGAGTGAGATTTTTATATGGGATCTGTAATATACATCTACATTGACAATAAAGGTCACACAGGTAATTGACAATATTCTTTTTACTTTGCATATTATTACTTCTGTTGATGTCGCATTTCATTTATGCATTATAAAATGTGGCTGTGACTGCATAAAGTAAAGGAATACATGCAATGCATTTCTGAACAAGAACCAAATCTTTGGCACATTTTTGAAGCTACATACTGAAATGTAAAATCCACAATTTTTTTTGCTTCCAATTATAAGTCAATAAACAAAGAAATACATATATATATATATATATATATATATATATATATATATATATATATATATATATATATATATATATATATATATTAAATGTGTGTCTGTTTCTTTTTGTTTGTTTGTTTTAAAGGTATTGAACATTGGAAAGAAAAAAACTGAATGTCGATGTATCATCTATAGTGGGGTCACGAAAGGTGCTGGTGCCTATCTCCAGCAGTCAACGGGTCAGAAACGGGATACACCTTGGACAGGATGCCAGTCCATCGGGGGACAAACAATTATGCACGCACACGCCCACTTAAGGAGAATTTCGAGAGACCAATCAACCTGACAGTCGTGTTGTTGGACTGTGGGAGAAAGCCGGAGTATCCATGCACCGGGAGGACGCGTAAACTTCATGCAGAGTTTTTATGTTTCAGGATTCAAATCCAGGACCTTCTTGCTGCAAGGCAGAATTGCTACCAACTGCGTCACTGTGTAACCCCAATATTTATCAGTTATTTCTAATAACTATGTGTAATTGCAGAAATATTTGATCAAATTGTTTTGTTTTCATTTATAGCCAAATGTGTTGGCGAAGTGGTACATCTTCGTACACAAACAATCTTCAGAGGAAAAAATCGTTTTCTATGACTAAGCTTCCTACGTCATGTAGGATATCTGCAGATGACCTACTTCAGTGGAGAAATGTGTGTCAAATCTCTGCAGGCAGGTATAACATGTATTGTGTCGAAAAAAAGGCTAAAATTAATTAAGAAATTGGCTTTTCTTTGAATCCTCAGAAAGCCAATAAAAAACAACGTTAAAGAGAGCAGCCCCGAAGTACTTCTGCAAATACAGAAGTACTTAGATGCATTTAAAGCTTGTTTTTGAAAAGTAGCTGGCAAGTCCAGGTGGACTTCCAGAGCCAAGAATAATGTGGAATGCAGCTGGTTGAAATACCTCTCTGCAACTCGTTATACAATCAGCAAAAGCTATAATGAAAACGCATCATTAGGTAAGAAGGGCACAACCAGGATGGACCACCAACCCATTACATGGCCACACAGAACAACCAACTTGGGGACACATACTTGGGGAGAACCCCCGCCCCCCCCCCCAAAAAAAGAGAAAAACACATGTGAGAACATTTAACAGTCATCATCTTAAAGTATGGGAAACAGTTGGAGTATCAACAGAGAAACCACACATGCACTTGAAGACCCGGCAGACTTCATGTATTAGAACCCCGGGCTGGAATTCAATCCAGGACCTTCTTGCTGCAAGGCAACAGAGCTATAATCTGCACAGATCAAATTCAAATAAACATAAATAGTTAATAAATGCATTTTCAATATAGGAAACATGCAATATCTTGAGCAATATGTTGTCCAGGCATACATTTAAATCCAAATGATTTTCAGAAACAATTTTAAATGATCTGAGAGAAAAAGCAGAAAACTGTTTACTCAAAGAGCAAAATTAAACCCCACAATTCTTGACTTTCCCAATGCTAGGTTTCCTATTTAATGCTCACTGTATTTGAACTTTTGGCCAGATCGGGCATTGTACAGGAAATTTTTGGGTAGAATGTTCAGTGATTCTCTACATAAGCTGTGCTTCTTAAATTCGATTGCAATTTTGTAATTGAAGAGAACTTTTTGTGCTATAAAATGGCAACTTGGAATAGGCATAAGACCACCTCTGAATCAGGGCAAATTTGTCAGTAGGAAGTCATTATAAACTAAAGCACCAAAAAAAAAAAAAAATAGCTAATTGTTTTCAATGGTCCTATTGTATAATAATCAAATAACCTGCCATTCTAGATGTGAATACAGTTTGAAAATTCATTGCACATACAAAACAAACACAGAAGAACTAAATTATGTACTTGGTAGATGTTTCTGTACTTTGCAAAATACTCAACCAAGATAGCACACAACGTTAAATCAATGTTGAATTAAAGTTAGAATCGTCGCTTTTTGGTTGAAGTCGACAAGTGACGGTGGATCAACCATCAAATAACCATCCAATCAAACTGTGTCATTGAATCAATGTTGTTTTGTGGTTGAAATCTAAGACAGAAATGCCGAGGTCTGACTAATGGTTGAAGTCACTGTGCAAAAACCGCACAGCGATCGCTCCTGGAGCTCGAAAACCGGCCACGTATAAGTTGACACTGTTGATGATGGAGTGATGAAAGGTTGATTTCTGATGACAGGACAAGTCTCTCAAAAGCGAGAATGCGTTGTATTGAATAAAAGCAGGTATTATTGATAAGGAACGACCTCAGCAAAAGTCCAGACTGTCCACAATACCTTGTACTAATCCTTTGACGTTTCTAAGATTTGCCGAAACCCGAGAATGAACCAGGGAATGAACCAGGGACCTTCAGATCTTCAGTCTGACGCTCTCCCAGCTGAGCTATTTTGGCGATGGCTCCTGTGTGAAAACCGCACAGAGATCGCTCCTGGAGCTTCAAAACTGGACACGTATAAGTTGACAATGTTGATGATGGAATGATGAAATTTGATTTCTGATGACAGGACAAGTCTCTCAAAAGCGAGAATGCGTTGTATTGAATAAAAGCAGGTATTATTGATAAGGAACGACCTCAGCAAAAGTCCAGACTGTCCACAATACCTTGTACTAATCCTTTGACGTTTCTA